TTATCTAACTTTTTTTTCTGCCACACTCTGTGAAGGAGGAGAAAATACCTGGAAAGTTCGAACATAGACTAGCACTGGAAATTTTTATGAGTGTATTTCACAAAACGTTCCCTTGTCTGTGAGTGGAACTTCGACTCCAGTAAGTTATCCGACGCCTAAGTGACTTGCACCATCCGTTTGATAACATACTTACAACGCTGTGACTTAAAGTTTTCCAAATTTAAATTTTCCACACGATTTTGTCTTGGGCTTATTTGCATATTATTCGATATAACGTTTCACGCTGATTAAGAATATCTGGTTTTTTGATCTTATAAATGCGAGTTTTCACCCGAAAAAATTCGACAAAACTACAGGGTTCCGTTTTTTTTCTAATGGCTATTTTCTTTTTTAAACGGAATAATTTAATGTTGATCAATTTTGGAAGCTTGTAACTATTTTTTCTCACTCAGAATTGAAAACTGCATACGGAAAACTATTTTTGAAAGTTATACTTCAAAAAAAATGTTGGGCATCAGAAGGAACCGAGAGGTCTGCAACTCCTCTGACGCGATTTGGTAAGCCTATCATTGTTGACGCCCGAATAAAATATGGGTTAGTGTAAGACGAATATCTCGAGAACGACAATGGATAGCGATTTGCGGTTTTCACCAATCGAAAGAGGCTAAGTTAGGACATGTTTTGATGTAATATTGTACAAGGTGAAATGATTCCCTAGCAAATCCTTTTTGGGAGTCTTTCTGAAAAAAGTATACTAATACAATGTAGTCCGAATGAGATTTTCATTCTGACATGTATATTAGATAGAAGGAGTTCAGCTCTATAGTTTAAGATACAATTCGAATGATGGGTCTTCTCACAGTCTAACGTGCAGCAAATGAATTAGGCCATTTTCTTGCCGAAATAATAGGAAATTGCGTTTATTTTTTGATCAAATTTTCTTACTTTTTGTCAAATTTTAATCGAAACAACAAGCCATTTTGATAAATTGTAAAAAAAGCTTGGTTAAAAACCAATGCAATTCCTTATTATTTTGGCAAGGAAATGGTCGAATTCATTTGCAGCACGTTAGACTGTTAGAAGGCAATCATTCGCATTGTATCTTAAACTATAGAGCTGAACTCCTTCTATCTAATATACATGTCAGAATGAAAATCTCATTGGAACTACATTGCATTAGTTTACTTTTTTCGGAAAGGCTTCCAAAAAAGATTTGCTAGGTAATGATTTCGCCTTATATAATATTATATCAAAACATGTCCTAACTAAGCTTCTTTCGATTGGTAAAAAAAGCAGATCGCTAGTTATTGCCGTCCTGGAGATATTCGTCTTACACCAACCCATATTTAATTCTGGCGCTGACAATAGATAGGTTTACAAAATCGTGTCGGAGGAGTTGCAGACCCCTCGGTCTCTTGTGATGCCCAACATTTTGTTTTGAACTATAACTTTGAAAAATAGTTTCCCATATACAGTTTTCAATTCTAAGTGAGAAAGATAGTTACAAGCTTTCAAAATGGATCAGAATCAGAACTAAGTTATTCCGTTTAAAAAAGAAAATAGCCATTAGAAAAAAAGCAGAACCCTGGAGTTTTGTCGAATTTTTTTGGGTAAAAACTCACATTTATAAGATGAAAAAACCAGATATTCTTAATCAGTGTGAAACGTTCTATCGAATAATATACAGATAAGTCCAAAACAAAATCGTGTGGAAAATTTGAATTTGGAGAGCATTACAATACAGAATCTGATTAGCATGAAATGGGTCACGATTTCTGAAGCTTGTATGCTGTTGGGAAAATATCGGACTTGAGAAACTACGTCTGGCTAGCACCCTATACAAGTACTGGTAGCCAAAAGTTAGGGCATTCTTTTTTCCTTGTCTGTCTATCCATTTGTTCAAATCAATGAAAAAGAACTAAATTCACGATCGATCAAACATAAAGTATAGTTTCGGAAAGGAGTATTAGATGTTAGAAGGCGTTGCAAACTGGAAATTACCAGTGTTGTTAATGAAATTTTGTTGTACGGCCCGTTAGGGTAAGGGCCTGATCAGGCTGTAAAAACTTCTGTTTTTTCTCATCAGTGAATCCTTCTGATATCCTTGCACTTTTGAACTGAAAATTATACTGTAAGTGAGAGTTTTTAGATTAAAACAGCCTAGAATAGATAGTGCGAGTGCGAAGCTACGAAGGGTTTCTGTGCTTCTTTTGCAATAGGCAAAAATGTATTTCACTCAATTGTAAAAGCTAGAAGACTGAAAATGTTTTCTCAGTTATCTCTTAGGTGTTTTAGTAAAGCAAATGTCTTTCTGTCTGCCACTTCTTTCTTTGTATACAATCAGCAATCCCATTCGAAGCCCATATGGATTCCGATTAGAGGCCGGCGTGATTTGTTTCTTCTTCTGATCACAATCACGAAGACTTGGGTAACGGTCACTAGTTGATCCCGTGAAACGCGATTGGTTCTAGTCTCACAGAAGTAAGAGTACCAAATGTTTTCTCTAATTGTTGTCTCTTGATTTTTGATGATGGCAGTGAAAGTGTATGATATAGAATTGAAATGACTCCTGTATATCAACACAAAACTTTATTGTTGGTCAAATTGTTTTCCACTAAGAGCTGTGCTCACGATAACATCGGAAGAGAAGTTCCAGGTTGAGTGACAGTCAAGGTGATTTTTATTGTGGAGTGGGTATGAGCAGTCGAAAATACGAATCGACTTTTTGAGTTTTGAACTACTGAAAAAGTCTTGAGGAAATCTATGATGATTTCTCTTTTGATCAATCATATTGAGAATTGAAAAATTGTTTCAAAATCTAGACCCAAAGTTCTTTTTTTCTCATCTTATGCAACTATTTTTTCGGAAAAAAGTCAGCGAATCTCTACTTTTACTAATATTTACTACTAAACAGTTCGTTTCATCATCGCGAAAAAATTGTAGAATCAAGCTTATCTCGATAGAATATTTGCCGTACTCGTTGTGGCAGCAGCTGCGACCAGACCACGTTGAAATGTTTTACGAAGATGTGCTGAAATATTGCATTCTTTGCCGCTGCCGGTCACTGATATAATCAAATCGGGCGTGGGCAAACGCCATCCATGTTGCATAAATTCGACCACCGTTTTAGCATTTGTTTGAAGAGCCAGTCTGATATATTGCGAAAGGCGAGTATTCGAATCTGGTGTATTCTCACCAAATTTGAGGTAACCATATTGAGTGGTCAGTTGCCTAGAAATGGGATAGAGATGTCATAATCCCAATACACTGGATATCAAGTTCGACAGATCATGATGCTATACAGAGCGAAGTACTGAGAAAGCAGTCTACTAGCATTTACACCAAACCCAAATATCTTGAGTTGTTTTAGTGAATAGATTTTCTGGAATGAGTTCAAAAGAATTGATCATGCATAACTAAAAATTTGAACTGAAAATTTGAGCGTCCTCTTAGTGTTCAATTGTCTGATTCCATTGTTTTCGAGCTCTACGTTCCAAAATTTAAAATTACAAACGAGTCACCAACGAAAATCAAAACAGATGTGGAAATCGTCAAGAATTTTAATCTGCAAACTGAGAATGAAAAAGTGACCGTACTCAAGTCGAAATCCCTATCACTTTGACAACACTTAAGAACAAGAACTGAAACTGATTATATTCAATTTTCATTTCCTGAATTCAACTCGTGGAAAACGCTCGATGCATCGAAATTAAATACAAAAATTATCTCGTCAAATGTTACTTCGACGTCACGCAGTACAGGTCGCCAGCAGTACATCTGAGAATAACTCGTGTCGAATTTGTTTTAACATAAGAGAGCAGAAATTGCTCGTCAGTTATTTGATTCCAAAAGAAAGATTCGATTATGGATTTCATCTGATGCAAGGATGTAACCCAGCGTATTGATAATGCGATTCTCTCTGTATAAGGAGTAACTGTATCTCATGCTGTAAACCTAATTTATTTCGAGTATCAATTTATCTAATCGATACCGATAACTTACACTCAACGGGTTATCTTAATGATTTATTGAGCAATCGACCAGAAACAAGGCACCTGTATGACTAAGCAGTTCAAGAGTTGGCGAGACTGTGTCGACGTTCAAAGCATATACTACATGATCAAGAACTCACTATGACAAAAAACATTTTAACATTTAATTTCGATTAATTGTCATATTACGAATGAAAGCAAATCTAAAAATGAACTTGAATCAATACTCCGAAATATCTGATGGACTGTAACGTTAGAAGTATCATTCAGGTACAAATCTAACGACTCAAAAAACAGATCTCGACGTTATTTCACAAAATAAAATCGCTCATTAGAGTCATTGACGCAAAAAGCATACTTTTGTTATGCAGTATCAGAGTCGATTGTTTACATACAAAAATGTTCATAGCTTAAATTTGGAATTTAAAAGAAACTTAGGCTATCGTGAAGAACAGTTAGAAAAAATCGTAACATTGAAAAAGTTTCTTGGTTTCTTGATTCTTTTAATCAAAAACATACTAATGATCACATGAGATTAAAAACTACATGAACTTTCACTTACAGCAGTAGAATGAAGTTTGAAGAAACGTATATATCTCACAAGCAACTTATTACCTTTTTTCGAAAATGTGAAGAGATCCAAAATCTCGTATACGGGACGAACTCCAATATGGATTCAAAATTACTGTTAAGCATATTGCAAAACTGTCATGGTGAAAAACAACTAAAAAGCCCCAACAGCCTGTCTCTCATCAGAATACATCGACGCACCAAAACTAAGCTTGCCTCAACGCTGTTGATGTATGATGTCTTCTAGCTTACCTTCTCAAAAGAGATACTTTTAAAAATAATGTACAGCTAATTATTATTTAAATAGCTGATTCGTTTGCAACAACATTTCGTTTTTTTATTTCGTATAACTAGCTATTTGAAATCTAACACTATTAAAACATTATCATACTATTAAAAAGATTTGATAACTATTTAAATAGCTGATTCATTTGTCTGATGAATTCTGTGGTCTTTCTTTGTGAAGCACGATCTAAAAGGAGTATTGAAGTATGTAGGGAAGAAATTTGGACCCCCCCCCCTCCTCCGCAGATGTGACAGACATCTTAGCAACGGCCCATCACGGACACTAAGCGATGATCGCAGACACATTAGTAATGCCACCCGTCTTCTTCGAAGACCTTGGCAGATACCCTAGCAACACCTCTCATCCGTCATAGACAGTGACAGGTACCTTAGTATTGCTACTCCCTCCGCACGCACTGTGACATTTCGTAGTCTACTGCAGAACTAGTATGAAACACGATTGAATTTAAGATAGCTGTCATTTGCTCCTCTTTCACACACACTGTAATATAGAACCATTAAGATTTATCATCATAGACAAACAGTAATAGCACGTAGGAATTAGCAAAACGAAGCATATCTTGGTGAATTCTCTCTTTTACAATGTGACCAGCTTCATTGTGTTTCACATATTAATCTCACATGGATTGTGATAACAGCTTTTTTACGTAGATATTCAAAGCAAATATTACATAACAATTAATTTCAAGGTACAGGTTTTAGCTGGAAGCATTATTTTATATATTAAATGGATACTAAGAATTTGTCACAATTGAACATTTTTCTCCTCGACTGCTCAACGTAGAAACTTATTTTCTTTTGAACTATTTAAATGATCAATATTCAATTTCAGCCGTTTTTACTTCGACTAAAGGAACAATTAGGCAACGTTCTCTCTTGCTTATTCATGTACGTATTTTCAAACTTTGTCACCTCTTGTTCGAAAGAAATCAGTTGCAATAAAACAGTAGGCGAGTACTCTTTAAACAACTACGCAAGTTTATTACGTAGCATTGATAATATATAACTAGTGTGCGAGACTGAATAACATCTATTGATGTATATTTAAACTAGGCGCTCCTTGCCATAATACATAAATAGTTGAATGTTATTTCAGTAGCTACGAATATTTATTAAATAGTACTGATGATCATTAAATAGTGCTTGGGATTAAATAGTGACTAGAGATGACCAATTTACATTTACAAAACATATTAAATCAATTTAAATTGGATCTAAACTAAGTTCAATTAAATCTAAATAAGTTTAAATTATTTTAAATTCCATTTTAATTAATTTAAGTTAAATTTAAATTTGTATGGTTTTCTCTAGGAATAAAAGCAATCTTTTGTTGTGGAAGTGTGCTATCAAAGATATGTTTATGATTGTTTTAGTACCATTAGAAAATAACAGGAACGGAGTGTGGCTCTTTTATACGGAATCTTTTTGTTCAGATGATCGGATTTCCACGTATAATACCAGTGTTTCTCTTATTTCTTATCTATTTTTTTTAAGTTATGTATTTTGACAATCGGGCTGATCAGTTTACATTTACAAAAATTTATTAAATCAAAAAATCAATTCTAAATTATATAAAAATTTAAAGTAAATTAACAGGAAAATGCCACGCCTAGTAGTGACATCTACAGGCATAAACAAACTACTGAGATCATACCAAAAATAGTGGCGAAGGCACTTTAATTCTTTACAAAAAGCTTAAAAATTTTTTTCTCTATGTGATCTCATAGTAAAAACAATGTTGTACAATATTTCGATAAGAGCTGTTTGTTCTGATATGTGACGATAACCTTTGATCATTTTACCTTCGATGTGTATTCTCATTTTGCTCTTATATTTGTTCTTCTCCTTTCTTTTTTTTCTTTTTCTTGTTTCCTCTAATGTCTAGATGTCTATAGACAACGGCACATGTCCCGTTTGTTTCGTATGTATGTGTAGTTAATTAGTGTGTTTTCAAAAAGATTAAAGAAATAAAGTTAGGTTAAATCTTAACACTATTCATCTGTTTCAAATGAGCAAGAAAAATTTCCGTTTATACATTATAGTGCATACTGCACTTAATATTCAAGCAATAGTTATTCATGATTGTGCGTGAATAACCAGAGCGACTACTTCGAACGCTTGGTGAAATGAAAACTTAACGAACTTCTTGCGGTACTTTTTTTTTGTACCGTGGCCATTTTGCTTTGTATTCCCTAGTATATACAGACGGCTAGGTATTAGAAGAGAAGAGCAAAAGAAGAATACACATCGAAGACAATATGATCTAATGTTATCGTCACATACCACAACAAATAGCTGTTATCGAAATATTATTATTATGAGTTTAGTTGAAAAATGATGCAATATCACAACAATGTACAGCATTACTTTTACAATGAGACCATATAGAGAAAAAATTACTTTAGGCTTTTTATAAGGAATTAAAGTACCTCCGTCACTACTTTTGGTATGACCTAAATTAAGTAGCTTACAACAAGGAATCAACAAGTAAATATATTACTATTAAACATTAAAGAGTAAATACTTAGGATTGACCAAAATTTCTGATCACGGAGTTTAAAATTTTATAAAATAGTTAACATCGAAAGTTTTATTGCATGAATATATAATAGAATGCCTCGTCTATAATAATGTATATAACAACTCTATCTTGAATTTAATTCTAACATTCTTTTAGATAAAGTCTATAATACAGTGACTACGCGAATATCTTACTATCCCTTGTCCAATGTTCGGGTATATTCTGGAACTTTTCACATTTTTTATTTCTCTCTCTCGTATGACATTTTAGAACGGATGGGGTTTTCTATAAATAATAATGGTGACTATTTTGAACATTTAATAAAATAAAACTAAAAATATCTCTCTTTTTATATTTTTATTTGACTTTATCAGAAGTTTTGCTCAGCCTTAAGTATTATCGATTTTATCTAAAAGAATGTTAGAATTAAATCTATTATAGAGTTGTTATATACATTATTATAGACGAGACATTCTATTATGTATTCATGCAATAAAACTTTCGATATTAACTATTTTATAAAATTTAAAACACCGTGATCAGAACTTTTGGTCAACCCTAGGTATTATGTCAAACTCTTTTGGAAGTATATGCGTATGCTAAGTTCTTAACTTGCTTTAGACAAAAATTGTATCTCTTTTGAGAATGAAGTCTTCTAGATAAAAATTGGATACTCCTGGATATCGGTATTATGACATAAACCTTTGTACCATTCTACTCTTACGTACGGATTGTTATCGGATTGACGAATACCCAATTGACGAACTACCTAAAATACAACAATAATTACTGATAGTGTTGTTGATCTTTATCGAAGATACCTCTTGCATATTACGCATCTGTCGAGCAATTTCTCCTGCCATTTTGGTCGCTTGATGAATTCGTAACAAAATATGTGCAATATTTTGGTTGTCTTCAAGTTTTGAGCGTATTATTATAACCATAAGATACAGAAAAAGCGTCGGCACGCATCATAACGCGGTCGTCGTCCTTCACTACGCGTGAAAAATCTGTTTCCCTCTTAACAGACCAAGATGATAATGAGAAACTAGGAATAACACGAGAAAGGGAGAAGCGATAAAAAGAAATGAGAGAAAGAAAGAAAAAAAATAAAGAGAGAAAGAACACTTTTGTCGCCATCCAGAGAAAAAAAATCATTCTTCAGCTTGCTCACGCTCTGCTCCACATTTTGTTCTACCCCATGTCGTCTTTTTTTTACCGACTATGCGTTGCGGTTACGCGCAGAGCCAATTCTGCGTCGTAGTTACGCGTAACTGAGGTGCATTGATCGTAATGAGAACCTCTATCAGAAACTACAGTTACTGCGACGCAGATGCACTTAACTGCGTCGCATTACTCGTATCTTACGATCCACTGTAACTGATACCAACCAATTATAAGTGATTCCTCCTTATTTGTAATTGGTCATACTCTGGCGCTAAAACTAAGCCTTAGAGGTACTGTATAAAAGACAGTCTCCGTTCGATTTTCGCTCATAATTCATTCTACTACAACAGATACAATATTTATTTCGAACATAATTTTTTAATTAAAAGAAATTCTTTTCAGAAGTAACTTTTATTTATTTTCTAATTGTTTTTTAATTTTTCTAGATTTTTCATTTTATTATTTTTTTATTTTCTTTTAAAGTTTTTAAATTTTACAATTTTTTTCTAACTTTTCTAATTGTTTTTTGAACTTTTCAATTTTTGTTTTATTTATTTATTTTTTTCATGTTCTCATTTCGCGGAACTCACATATATTTTCGAAGAAAATAGCGAGTGTAAGTTTTAAGGTCAAGTTTTTGCGGCTCCCCCCCTATTCCTTAGAGACACTTAACAACGAAAGCCCCCAACAGCCTGTCTCTCATCAGAATACATCGACGCACCAAAACTAAGCTTGCCTCAACGCTGTTGATGCCTGATGTCTTCTAGCTTACCTTCTCAAAAGAGATACTTTTAAAAATAATGTACAGCTAATTATTATTTAAATAGCTGATTCGTTTGCAACAACATTTCGTTTTTTTATTTCNATTAGATATTTTAAGTCTAAAAATTTTTTTTCAAATCTACTATCATAATTGTCATCAAAATTGATTCGTTGAACTTTTTTAGGCTATCGAAAAACTGCGTGCTAATCCAGCTGATGTTAACATCATTAAAGAGATCAACAACATTCATGTGAGTGAAACTTTTTATTGTATTTTTTGCATTTCAATATATTTTTTTTTAGATTAAATTCGTAAATTTATCGAGAAATATTCTGGTAAGAAGAAAAAAAAATTATCAATACATTCAACTAATAGAAGTTTGTGTCCATAGTTTTATTAGAGTCTACCAGTATTGAGAATAATTCGACTATGGGTGGAGATGATGTTTGGGGTATATCCGCATCCTAGTTAACATTGTTAGACGTTTGTTGATTTATGTGGATTGTTCGACTTCAATGAGTACTAGTGATCGATGGTACACTGACAAATAAATGATATTTTAGAAGATTTCGACAATCGAAATTTTTTAAAAGTATCGTAAAATGAAAGACGTTTCAATCTATTTAGAATCGTTTTGCTCTATCTTGCCCAGTGATTCAATCAGAATTGTGTCCTAGAATAATATTAAATGAAGAACTCTGTCCATGCGTTTGTTTTTTAGAAATCGTATGATTCAAAACTAGAATATATTTTTATTTTCTTAAATTCTTCTCGTAAATAAAAATCTGTGCTTAATAGAGTTATAAGGATTCTTGTTAGCAATAACGATACTAAGAAAAAAGCGAAAAAATAAGTACGGGTGATTTATCATCTTCTAGACCATTATAGAAAGTGATTTTCTCTTATGATTTTTTTCTTTATAGGATTCAGAAACAGCATCAACTCATTTAGAACCATCGAATGATGCACAATTATCACCAACTCATTTAAAATCATCAAATAATGAAGATTTACCCGAAAATGATTCAGAACGATTAAATAATGATAATCAAAATAATTCTTATTTTCATATGGGTAAGTTATAATCATAGAGTTAGCTGTTAATATATATTAAATGGCAACAGCAATAAAGTTTTTCCATGTGAATATTTATAGAGTGAGAATGAAAAGTTATGGTACCTTTTTCTTTTCAATTGTCTCTGCGAAAGACTACTTGATACTGATATCTGAATAGTGATTTCGATAACTATCAAGATAATGGGTACGCTATATTAAATGGCCCTATTTTGTATTTCAATTTTCATTCACTTAATATATTGTATTAAAAAAACAAAATATACTACAAGATGCGGCGTGAAAAGCTATACAACTTACATAAGACAGCTTTTTTTTTATAGTTGCACTTTTTGCTTTCAAAGTGATCAAACTTTTGAGTGATCAAATTTCGATCGTACGACAATCGGTCACAGAATTTTGCTTTTTTTTCAAAGTAATTATAATAAGCTTTACTTTGTACGTTGTAGAGCTTTTTACACCGCAGCTTGTAGTATATTTTGTTTTTGTAATACGACATATTAAGTGAATGAAAATTGAAATACAAAACGCGGCCATTTAATATGACGCACCCGTTAGAATAGAAGATTAGTGTTGAGATTTCTGAACTATGAATTTTTCATTCTTCATGCAAAGAATGTTTTTGTGACGATCAAAATGTTAAGATATATGTCGCCTTTCATTAGTTTTTTGTTAAATAATTATTATAAAACTTTTCAATGTGTGATTGATCACAGATAATAATACAATTCATCGAGATTAAGTTTTCAAATTCAATTAAATAATTTTCGAGAAACTTTATGATGATAAGAACTTCTATCATAAAAGTTTAGTATCGTTCTTTTGTAGTAGATTTTCTTTAATCTTTTAAGATATAAGATGTAAATCTTTTTTTATATTGAGTTTTATTTCTACAGAGTACAGAATAGTCCATTAAATTTCTTTAAAAGAATTTTACTATTAGCATTATAATATTGTCGAGCAGATAGAGCAAATGATTCACTTGCTTATGAATCGATCATAATTGAATAGTCAGCTACAGTTGATATTATGTTAATCATATTTTCTATGCGAACTATTGAACATAAGTTTTTATTATTTTTTTTTTCATAAATAATTCTCATTATAGTAAAAAATCAATTGATATATATAAGACTGTCTATAATCAGTATTCTTGTATCTGCTAGGGAAATTTCTATGCAAAGCTGTATCTCAATGGCTTGGTTCTACTCAAGAACATCATAAGATGGATTAGAACAATATGAACATGTTGGATTATTTTTGTTAAATTAATTATTAATTTCTTGATTGTAATAAAGACTTATATTACTCGCTGGAAAAAACGAAAAAGTTATTTTAATGTTACGCATCTAATTTCAAAAGTCAAAAATCAATATTCGCCATAACGTATTGCCTAACTTTCTGTCTTCTCGTTATATTCCTATAAAATGTGGGCATATGGACATTTTATTACATCATAGATCTTTCCAGAATAAAATTTAATTTTTTTTCTTATAGTGAGAGATCGTGGGTTTCATTGGGTGGATGGGCTTATATTAGGTTTAATAGTTTGTATCCTTGGTGCATATATGTTAAAACAAATACCAGGTAGAAAAGCAGCTGGTGCATGCATTATTTTATTTCTTTCTCTTGTTGGTTTTTTCATTGGTGATGTTTTATCAAGAGATGCATGTAAAAAAAGACGTGTTCGAAAAATTAATCCACAAGCATCATAGAAAACGAACGCTGGTGACTTTTTTTTTCATTTGTTATCATTCACTTACAGGTTGTACTTGTGACTAAATATAGCTTAGAATTTGAATAGAAAAGAACATACATTTAATATGACAGCAATTTTGTTTACTGGATAGAATTAAATCAATGATTTGAACTGATTTTAATATTTGAATGACCTTAAAGATTTAGAATGTAGATATATCTATAAAATTCATGTATTTATTGTACTATAAACATTTCATATTAAACTCTGCCTAGAGAAGAATTATTTTCATGATCATTCAAATTGAATCTTCTTAGAGATGGTATTTTTATTTAAAATACATAAGCCAACCGAATTAGAGTGAATATGCTATATCATGAATATAAATTTAACAGATGGACTTATTAACATCGCAAATCAACCAAACAGTTGCTGGGTGATCCTAATATGAAAAAATTTTTAGTTATAATATCTTCAATCAAATTTTTGTGTACAAATCAGCATCATCATAAGCAAAACAAATATTACAATTTTTTTTTCCTTTTTTCATTTAATTTTAGACTCATAACTCATTAACAACAAATTCAATTAATGTTATGTATGAAAATGAACAATTAATATTAACAAATCATGAACTTGTAGAATTTTTTACAAAAGATTTAAGAAGTCATTTTGATAAAGTAACAGATGAAATTGATACAATAACAATAATACTTTCAACACAATTGAAATTAAAACAAATTTGTCGAAATCGAATACGTAAATGTCTTTATTCTTCTCAAATGGGTGATCTTAATCGACAAACACTTCAACACTATTAAACGAATCACTTCAACATTTTGTTCTTCCATAACTTTGAATTATTTTAAAAAAAATATTTATGTTATTATTTCGATTATTATTTGACATTTGAACATGAACAAGATAAAACTTGTCAAATGTTTATTTCAATTCATTGTCTTTGGACTTTTTTTTTCAAAAGAAAAACCTAACTTGTTATATAAATATATATTTTGATCGTTTCTCTTGATTTATATTTAGAGAAACAATTTATCTAGTTGTTCTATTATGCTTTTTTTTAAATTTCTCAATAATTAAAACTCAAAGAATACACACGAAGAAATCCATTTTATTTTTATTCTTTATTTAAGTGATACATAGTTGAATTCGAAATCGAATTTTATTCATTTTTTCTTTAAAAAAAAATCATAAATTATTTTTTTTAAATTCGAATTATCCAAAAATTTCATTTTAATCTTAGTTTTTTAATTAATGATTCTCTTATGATATTTATTGAAAAAAGAATTGATTATTATTAAGTTTTTATTCAATTTAGTTAATACGAGATTTACATTAAATTGACATCATTTAAATATAATTACCATCTAGTCCATTTATGAAATATGATTTATTTTTATATTAAATTTTTAATCAATCAATATATTCTGATCTTCTATTATTGAATATTTTATCGAGTTTTTCTAAGTTGATTAATATTGCTTTAAATAATACATTTTACAGGTTTTTAGAATAACAAAAAAATTATTTTTTTTAAATATAATTAAATAGTTATCTGTCTCATACGTAAGCGAATCATTCACTAACTTGAAACATCTCTTAGATTATATTTAAAAATCATTTATTTAAGCCTCTTGGTCAAATTTTCACAATTTTCGTTCTAGACAATCATTATGATTAATGTTGCAAATAATCAGTCTTAATCGAATTAATAAATGCGAAAACTTCGGATTTAAATCCGAGAGTTATGTGTGCTTCAAAAAGTGAATCATTCGAATCAGTCATCCGAGAATGTGTGAACATCGAAATTATACTGGGGAGCCTACCATTTGAAATATTGATTTCTATTGCGTATTGCCAAACCAATAGGACTTGGAACCGAATACAGCTCAAATTTGAACTCTTTCCCTTGATTTACCCTAAGAAAGTCGTTTTTCCTATAATTTGATTTCTATTGGTCACTACTCAACCAATAGTATTTCGATGGAAGTGCAGTACAGATTCGAGTTCTCCATCTCAGAAAACCTTGAAGTATCATCACTGTGAACGGAAGATAGAGCTCTATTGGTGGATCGGTTAGATCGTGGATAAAAATATAACCTAGCTCCCTTTAATTATCTTTGTGATAGGTGAGTCAGCCTTCTTGTTTCTTTATGTTTTATATACCATTTTGTAGCTCTTGAAATTCTCTATCGAATGGTATATAACAGTTGGGGCTTTAGTTGAGTATGATAGGAAAAATTGTTTACGAAAAGAGAGAAGGATCTATCATTTCTTGCGGAAGCATAGGGAAAAATGAGTATTTGTGCAATAACTCATGAATGGCTTGGCCAATCATTCTCATCTTCGAACTCGGCTGAGATATTGTTAAGACTGAACTGTGTAGAAAATTTCATCATGATTGGATTCTCCTTTCAAAAGTTATCGTATTAACGGTCGGACGGACATACTGACCGATTCTAGAGTGTGCTCACTTGTTGAGTACACAAACACATTCTACCAAACGGATATTTCGATAAAAATCTCAATAGAAACAATTTGATTGTTAAAATCTTTCTTCTCTATATATGAAAATAAAAGTTAAAATAACATTAGTATATGATATTATCAGATAATAAATAGTCCGAAATTTAGAATATAGAAAAGCAGTGTCTTCATATAGGTAGAGAAATATATTGAGTAAGTTTATTCTAATGATGGTTAACTTACTAACAGAGATTATTTATTCGAAAGGAGATTATAAACATATCGCGGATATAAATTCTCGAAAATAAAGAGTATGCTCATATGATATATTTCCCTGTTAACTATATTTAGTTCGAAATTTGATCATGAAATAGTTCAAGTTAGTGTTTTCATATGACTAGAGAAAACCTTTCAATCGATCGATGTATTAAATGATTTTTATCGGAAAGTTATATGAGAAAAAAACGAGAATATAATAATATACATATCCTCGATGTATTATATGTTATAGTTCTATGATGAACTTTTCTTAGATAAACAAATTAACTAAACAAACTCAAACTTTTATCATAAGATCGTTTAAAAATACTTTCATTGATTGATTTAATTATTTATCTATAAACAAAGTCTAGACTTATTCCATCGATAGTTGAAACAATTTATAATAGATCCTATTGGCATATCATCAATATGGGAGAATTTTCACGGTTCTTCTTTGTTTTAAACTCATTTTGAATATATATTTACAATTGAAAAATTTAAATAAAAACCATGATCTCTTATTTAATAGTTATTTTAGAAATAGTCAATAACTGAATATATTCATATATAATATATTAACAATTGATATAAAATTAATTTTAATTGAAATTTCTTCGATAAAAAGCAAATGGTGAATAATTACTTTTTAAAGATAAATTTTTTTCAATCGATATAAACGATTTCGAAGAGGAAATAATTGTGAATAAATCTAATTAAATAAATTGGTTTGTTTATTATAATCAGTTAAGTTAATTATAGAATGAGTTATGGATAAAAGGTATCTCATCTTGCAATAAATATTTGTTTTGTTTTTGTAGAGCAACATAGGATCTATTCAAAGAGTAACAATTCAATTAATATCGATGATCATCATAAGCATTTATCTATCAATAAACTTGCTCTTATTCGAACATTCTAATAATTATTGTTGTTTTCTACCGTCAATGTAGGATATCCACAAATTATTAACCAATAACAGACGAATTATTAAAAACAATCAAAGAAAAAAAAATGACATTCTTCAAGAGATTTCATTTGATCAAATATATCGAATATAAAATGTTCTATTGTAAGAAAAGGCAAACCTTTTCGATTATCTATTAAATTAATCTTAACAAAATAAGTTCAAAACTGTTCCTATGTCACAATCAGTATTGATAAGATTTTATCGAAAAAAAAAGATAATATACTAAAAGTTGATTAAGATAAAATGAAAAAGCAATCGATTTCGATTTTATTTCATTTATCGGATAGATAAACGTTACCAGTTGATTCTACTTGATCTATACTATTAAATCATTTTAGTTACTTTTTATTATATTTGATGAATATGTTTTGCTCGAATAAAAGTTAGTAGACATATATATAACTCTTTATTTTTCACTAAATCTATAATTAAAAAATAAATATAAAAGACTCTTTCGTTGTATGTCTTCATCGTTATTTATTCTGTAAACTATGATAATGATTTAATCAAACGACTTTATTGATTATTTACATAGAAAATAAAATAAAAGTCTTTGTGTTCGATTGTTAATAATTTATCTAATTCATTCATTGATAAGATTTATTTCGGCATTAGATTCGTTTTAGAATTGTACAAAAAAATAAAAAATAAATGATAAATTGTTAGCACCATCAAATCATAAATAACTTTCACGAATTCCTGCCAACTCTTTTTATTGAATATGTTAAATAGATCGATGTTATATTAATATAGAAGAAGATTCATAGAAACGTTTTGAATATATTCATAGTAATCAATTTAGTCAAAGACTAATCACTTTTTTTATACCAATTCCGAGATAATTTGAGGATAATATTCTTCATAGATTCCAGTTAAAAGTACTTGATTTCTATTAAACTCTATTTAAATCTTGTTTATTTATTATCTTTACTAATTCTATCGGTTGAATCTAAAACGAATAAAAAAAGAAATGTTTGAAAAAATCTCACTTATTCTAAACTTATTTTCTTAGATTGAAATAAATTAAATATCACCTTCGAATTGAATTTTTTTCAATAAAAATATATTCATATTGATTGAATAACTTTCTCAAGAGAAAGAAAATAATCCGTTTGATTGATATAATAAAATAATTATTTCATATATTTGATTTCAACTTGAATAAAACCCCAAACAATTGTCAATGGATTATTTCGACTTGATTCTATTTCAATTCGTCAATATTAGATTATGTTACTATCAAAGAGTAATGCTAACTAATACATACAGTCTATTATCGAAAATTTTTATCAATTATTAAAATA